CACACTCCATCAAAAACAAAATTGATAACACAACTCAAGTAGTATTCCTGACTGATGCCCTCTCTGTGCTACAAGCTTTGACAAACGACAAGCTTAACCTCAACTTGAACAAGCTTTATACACCATCAAAAGTCTGACAACAGTTCTACAGTGGATTCCTTCTCACTGTGGAGTTTGGGGTAATGAACAAGCCGATAAATTAGCAAAGAATGGTGCTGAACAATAACAGGAAGAAAATCCAGTCTGCTACACAGAGATGAAGACTATCATCAAATCTCTGTTCAACACCCATCAGCAACAAGACAGTTACCACCAACAAGATCTGACCAAACTACCATCTTCCGACAGGACACAACAGACTCAATCAACATCTATACAAAGTCATGAAAGTTGTTTCATCTCCAATGTGTCCTTGTGGAGAAGCAGAGCAGGATACTGCACACCTCTTACAGTCATGGAAGATCCATCAGGCACTGATCATGAGAGATAAGATATGGCATTCACCAACCGTTACCACTCAAAGAAAAGCTATGTGGACCAGTGGATGCCCTTAGCACAGAAGACCACCAGATTTGTTGAGGAGACTGGTATTCAAGTGTTAAGGCGAACGATAAGAAAGAAGATGTGTAATTACCACTGAGACTGGTGCATCAATATATATATAATTAAATGAGATTATTAATGTCATTCATTGTGTTTTGTAAGGGAGGTAACTCTTTGTGAAGTAACATGTTAGCATCATCTCCGGACTGAGGGGTGATATTTAGCATGGAAATCTTTCATTTTACAATAGAATAGATTGGTTCTGAAATTGTGGTAAAAAAAAAGAGAAAACAAATTCTCCCATATATACCATGTTATTGACCTTGTACGCTTTTTTGATTGTTTTCAGGAAAATGCTAAAAAACAATTCTGAAATTTCACGATTTCAAAAAATTCGTAAAAATCCAATTTTGAAGATAACATGGTTCTGATTGCTGTTTTGTAATCAGGTTATGGTAGTCTCTAAGAAAATGACAAGAAATAAATCACTTTTGGTTTAAAAAAAAATAGTTGGGCATAGCTACCAAATGACTAGTAAGGCATTCCAGTTGCGCTCCTGTTTTAAGTATTTATTCTAGGCAAAAATCAATATTGACCTTCTTTTTTTTAATAAATTTGCTGTTCCTTTAAGATTTCTTGAAAAGACCTATCACAATAATTTTACAATGTTATAACGAAAAACAACAAATATTTCTGAACATGTTCTCACAAACCAGGAACCTGTATTTTTGCAACTTTTGTACCTTTGTCCTCAAAATGAAAAACGGACATATTATTTTAAAAATTAGAACAAAAAACTCCCATTGACTAAGCAAAACAAATTCAACGTTAACCCATATTATAACATACACATCTTTCTCATGATAATGCTAATAATATATAATCGCAAAACATTCGGGATTTCATTGACATTGTGGACGCGTTGAAACATTTGCCAAATGCCAGCAAGTGGGTTATGATTATTTCTTACCTTTGAATTAACTTCTTATAATTATAGAATCCTTACAAAGGTCCAAACCGTTATGTGCCTTCTGCCTATGATAGCAAATGATGAAATGGCAAGTAAGATACAATAAACTGAGATTTTCGTCAACGATATTTTCTCTAACATGCACTAGAAACTTCCAGACTCATGGTCCATTAAACCGGAAGTTGCGTCACAGAGCATTGAATTCTGGGACGTAAACTAAAAGCGCCATTTCCTGGATTTTCAAAGCGATGAAGCTCTCGATTTATGGATGATTTTTCGCATACTGTTTGTGACAGATGACAGTTTTTCGTCACAACATTTGCAAAGGTATCCAAGTTTTTCCGTTAACGGTTATTTATTTTTTTCAAGCTGAGCGTAACGGAGCTTGCGAGGACATTACTGTATTTACCGCAAGCGAGTACGAGCATGTTTTGTGACAATATACTGCTATAACGATGTAGCCGGCTTAGCCCCTACGGCTGCAGAGTAGGCATACATCAATTATAACTATTGTAACTATTCAGGTGTGTTGCTGTGATAAAATACTTGAAGTATGTTAAACTAATTATAATTTCCATTGAGTTTATAATGAAACTTAACTATTTTCAGTTAATTTACGAAATGTAAACAATGTACTAAACATGGACGGTTTGAGGACAATATTTACTTTTTACTATAAATTACATGTATATCACATGAAAGTTCATACTCGAATGATTGTTTCAAACCAAAATCATCTGCTTACATTCATGCAAATTTCTGTGCCTGCATACCACTAATTCTACATCTGCAATTTGTTCTGAATAATATACTATCAGCATTAAAAGTTTTACAGATAATTTCGCACTGTTCTTCCAGTCGTTGCAAGTCTTCAACTTGTGCGACTGTCCTATATCTTGTTGTCATCGATACTTTATGGTATGGACATAATTGAAGGTGTAGCCAGATATTTGACAGATAGTATAAGTGCATCTGAGGTGTAGCAAGCGCACACTACTATCAAAGTGTGGAATGCTCAGACAAAGTTTGCCTATGAATGCCAACTGAAAGCAGTTGAATTCTTATTTATACCATTTTTGGAGTCTGTTCATCTCATAGAAAATTCAATTAAACTTATTACTATTCAGCATTTAGATCAAATAATGTATCTCCGTGCGTTGTTTATGCTTTTTCAGTGAATAAAACCGGCGCGTCTAATTACCCAATACTACCCAATACCACCCAATACTACCCAATACTACCCAATACCACCCAATACTACCC